CAGTATTATTGTCTTGTAGCTGACTACAAATTATTAAAATAGTTTTCTTGTCATTAAGTGGAAAGTCAGACTCATTTCTTGGTAGCTACGATTAACATGCAGTGAAGCTCGGGGCCCAGAGATTGAGAGGTCCTTCAGGATAAAGAGGATAGGGATGCTCGTTGACGAGAAATCGGGGAAAAAATACCCTAATATAAATACAAAGACGATTCAGAAGTTAGTTTGATTTAGTTTACGGCACCTATTTAACGGTTTGACTGAATTCACAACGCATCAGCTACACGATGTACCTATTCCGTTAGTATATGCCTATTCCGCCTATAATCCGCTAAATCGGAAATCTCTAATTGGTGATCACAAACACTAGCATTGTGATCTTAATTTGCCAATTTTCGATCTCTGTTTTGCAAAGTAAAGACAAAAGCTTACGTCAGAGCAACTAGCGCGATTGCACTCTCTTCCAGGTTATTTTTATCAGCAGTGTTGAAAGAGACAAAACGAGACACATCACGAGACAGTATTTGACGGGACAAAACTTTACTTAGATTGACTTACACTACTTTTCAATATAGAAAAAATAGCACAAGCGGAATTTTTCCATTTTGTCATCGTGACAAAATAGAGATTTCGGAGGACTTCAATTAAAGTGTTTCCATGACATTGTTGTAAAAACAAAATTTTCAAGCGTATGTGCCTTTGGAATGTCATGTAACACCTTAATTGACGTCCACCAAAACCTACTTCGCCGGAACAACGATTCCGGACGTGCTATTTAGAAGTGCTGTAATTGTTTACTTAATGTTTCATTTAATTTGGTCTTTAGCAAACGCAAGTAGACTTCTATCAATTTCAACAAAGAGAATCACGAAGAGAACGTAAGTATTATTTATACTTTCATAAACCCACCTAATGTGTCCTTGAAGTCTCATATGAGACTTGGTAGCTCAGTGGTTAGAGCATGGCACCGGAATCGCCAGGGTGGCACGGGTTCAAATCCCGTTCAAGACTCAGAACTTTTTCTGAGTCTTTCAATTTGTAGCTGCATAAGTTGCTTGATATACTGCGAGGATCAGCTCAATTTGATACATTACAACCGCAGTTTAATATATAGTTTATACATATTCTCATACACATACTTCTCAATCACACGCGCGAAATCATACATTTTTCTGTCTCGACAAAGTTTTGGTGGTCTTCGCGTGTTTGCCATTTAATTAAACCAATCCATCCGGTTGGAAAACTGTTTGCTCATGGTAATGAAAGAGCGGGAAAGCTTGACTTCCGACAAATGGTACACGCGTCTAACGGAAGAACCGAAAAGAGCGGAAAAAGAGCGGAGAACTTTCCCATCGGAACGACACATTCCATTTGTTTTCCAACCTAATTTTCCTGTTTTTACAGCTAAATTGAAAGCACCCTTGCCCTTGCCCCTTTGGACAGTTTCATAGGAACACTTTGATTGATATCCACCAAAATCTGCTTTGTAGAAACCATTCCTGTGTTGGGAAGCCATTTCAAAGTCAGGGCAAAAAAATCAATATGTGCTGTAAATCAGATTATAGTTTTCCACTCATAAGAAAGACCTTTATAAAGACTTTTCAAAATGTGCTCTTTCTCTTTTCTTCAGACATTGCTCAATTGAGAAAGAAGTTTGAAGAAGACAAGAAAAGAATCGCAGAAATGAAGGCAGCAAGAAAATTCAAGCCATATTAAACACTATTGACTACTGAGACAAACCTACTCTCTCTCTCGTTTGTTGTTTAGTGTTTACCAAGGAATGGCTGCGGAAAGAAGAATTATTTCCCCTAGATAACCAGGCTTGGGTCAGGGGGGGGGAGGGGAGGCACTGATCAAAGACCTTAGGTTAGACCTTAGATTTTACTGAGTTGAGCGTCCCATCAAGCGAGATTGGATGCGGTTTCTAAAACATGCCCCGACACCACTTTTTATGGCCTGCTTTGTCATCCGTGCGCACACTATTAAATTTTGACTTCCGTTTTTCCAACGCTTTTGAGAATCGCACTGGTACAATCGCACAATAATGATTTTATTTTAGTTGCACTCAAATTTAGTATTTATTTAATGGTTTTTTTTGGGGGGGGGGGGGGAAAGGGTGGTATAGTAAGGGGTGTCCGTTAATTACAGTTACCACTGTATAAAAAACTCGCTTGAAATCCATTTTTTTGTCATTAAGATTTTTGTTATTTAACCTTTCACACTAAGGGGTGTTCGTTAATTGAGTTACCACTGTATAAAAACTCGCCTGAAGTCCACTTTTTTGTCATTTAATCTTTCACACTAGTACATTTTGATCGACAGTGATCATTCAAACAGGTCAAGAAACAAAAGTATCAGTTATCATTGTTGGGAGTACATATGGTCTATTGCAGCCTAATTAGGGCATTCTTGCAGACTAATCCAATGGTACAAGATGTCTTTGACCAGTCTTCGCATGTTTGTTGCGTCCGTTACTTTCATCCTTCCGACGTCAGCTTTTTTCATTAACTCGTCAGCAATTCAAGGTAACAAACGGGGTAAAAATATAGTTGCTTTTTTTTTCAGGAATTACTCGAGCATTTGAAAATCGTGTACTCACTGGTCAATTAGAGAGCAGACGCTTATGTTGCATGCACAACGAAGCTGATTTTGTTCTTGTTCATGTTTTATAATTGGTTTATCATTGTCAATTAGAATAGAATAATCTATTTAATGTCACTATAACAGTACAGTATTTAAAATCTAGACCAGGTATAAAACTTGAACATTAGTAGACCTTAGTAGGCTTATCTCATCTGATATCTAGCTCAAAGATTAAACTCCTTGTTTTTAAAACCTAAAGTTCCTTTAACTAGGCTGTAGTGGTGGTGCAGGTCCGCGTTCTATAATTCATTTTTCTTTCCTCTCTCTTTTTATTCTATTTTCATACGAGGAGTGTGAAAGAAATTGTTAGTTTTCTTAAAAACTGCGTATACAAAATGATGCGTATCCAAAAAGCAAGAAAGCCAGACTTGTTGTGTCCCTAGGAAACTCTATCCTCACGTGCCGCGTAGCTCGCTATGTTTTAGCTCCATCGTACAAGATATGGCAAAGTAGATGCTCATAATGCATAAGTTATTTAACGCATGCAGTTAATTAATATGCTATAGCTATTGATAACTCCCTGGTTTCAGGTGTACCCTTTTGCTTTTTAAAACACTATTGACCAAAAAGATTGTACGGAGTGTGAATTCTTTTTGTTTTGATCTATACTAATCAAATCACCGGCCTTAGTATGACAAAAGAAGGGTGTTAAATGCAAATTAGTATTACTATTTTGTACTAAATAGATAGAAAACAAAGGATTTTGTATAAGGAAATTTGTGCAATTTTGCTTTACTAAAGTTTCAAAGTTATTTTGTTTGCACCGTCTATACCCTTAAAACGGACAACTCTATTCCAAGTGCAAACAACATTCATAAACAATTGTTACGTAACCGAAGTGTTACATAACGAGATTACCTATCCGGAACAGCTTCACGTAAATCCGTTTTAACTGATCTTTAGCTTGGATAACAGACTTGCACTGATTGTGTTTGATGTCTTGCCGGGTAAGGACATCCGGAGAATTCTGCACGGCTTTTTATGTGTTGATAGTATTGGGAAAAGTCATCCTCTGAAGTCAAGCATGTAGAGACAAGAAGAACCGTCAAGTAGCCGCTCATATATTATTTCATAATTATAGGAGGGGTAAAGAGGTGGCGCAATTTTTCAACTCCCACTTCCAGTCCAAAAACTTGGAATGGAAGTGACAGAATATAATACCTCGGTACTGCGGTCTGCCCTAAAGCAATTTAAGTCCCTCTATCAGTCCACCTTCCCCGCCCCCTCCCCCCTACCCACTTCGCATTTATCCCCTCCCCCTTCGATTAATGTTGAGCTGGAGGCAATCAAGCTTAGGCCCGCACTGACTTCTTCTGGTGCGATATAAATGAAATCGTGATACCATCAAAATAGTCTGCAACAGGGTGGGCTCTTGTCTGCAGCTACAATAGCGCAAAGAATACGTTTGAACCGATCTAGTAAATTTGTATAGAAAGTATAAAAGGAGACTGACAGACTAATCAGAAAATAAAAAATAAAACATGGCCTTTACCCCGGCTCTCGTTACGGGGTCCTGAGACCGCGACAATCATTCGATACATGTTTTAGTTTAGTTTAGTTTAGTTAGTTTACTATTTCGCACCGTTTTGACTGGGACAAGCCCTTCTGATCTGACCGAAAGTGCTAAGTACGCACCCCTCCCCCGATGGGTTTTAGACGCCTCGATAACACAGATTTGATAGACAGGTCAAAAGAGACGAGCAATGCCACTTTACCTATTTTTGCTCTCCGTGATAGGCTGTCAGTTTTGGATGTACCAGAAATTGCGCAAAACTTGCCAGATTATTGCGATCTTAACGCGGCATTTTTCACTGTAACTTCCGAACCGCTCTTAGTCACAAACTACCATCGTGGGAAAGTTGAATATTATTTTGTGTGCTCCTTTAATGCAAGAAACAGCTTTTTAAATGACGTAATCTGAATTAATTTCGAAACAAAACCTCACTTCGGAGACCCCCAAAAAAAAGGAAGAAAAGAAGAAAAGACGCTACTCCCTTTTTCGAGCACAGAGGGAGGCTGACATTCACTTAAAACTTTTCAACGAATGTTAAAAAAGGATCATTAAGATGTACACTAGGATACAAAGGAACAAAGGCTCTTTCAAATCCTTTTGTCCAATATTTGTATAATAATCAAAATATCGAAAATATCACCATAGTTTCGGTCAAAATTTCCATACTGACCCCTCCCTCAGTATCATTTGTCGTTACTAGTAAAACGTGCGTGGTCAATGGCCTGCAGGCAGTATGCTCCCTGATGGATGGTCTCTGCGTTTTCTCTTCGTTTTTGGCGTTTATTATCTTTTCATGTCAAGCTTTTGGTCTTCAAAAGATACACGAAGGTACAGTGCAACTAATGATTTATTAGTCCGTTGATTACTTTGGTTTTTACACGGCTTTTTGCCTCGTGTTTGAGAGGCCGACTGAAGCTCGGCCGCGCTTTCACTGTTCACGACTTTTGATCTAAAACAGATTTAATCAATGGCCATTCCTTTTTATAAGACATGTTTGTTTTCTGCTGCCCTTTTTCTAATGCTAACAAACCCTTTTACAGTTCCAGTAGCTTTTCTTAAACTTTAAAATGAATTGAGAGGACCTAAAGTTTACAGACAGTTTTACTCTGTTTGAGTCAAAGGTCTCTTATTCGTCTTATCTTTTCACTTCATTCATTTTTCTTAAATGAAAATACTCATAAATTATACACAGCAACAAAAAAAAAAGAAAAAAATTAAAACCTCATATTTCAGCGTACAGCATTTCAAAATAGAATGACAAAAAGTCATTAATTAATTTTCCTAAACGCGATAAAACTTTGTCCATTTTCTTACAAATGATTTTACACATTTTTATCTTACCATATGTTCTTTTAAATTCATTGTTTTATGTTTAATAGTGGCCTTCAACTAGTTGGCATCTAACCGTTGTGCCTCATATTTCTTGACATAGAGGTTTTTCTTACACGTTGGACATCAAATCCTGGTAATACTAGACTATTATGGCTTGTGAGTTGTGTTGAGCCTCTTGAACCAGATCAATATTGTATACCTTTAGCACGCATGAAATAACATCTTCTGTCCCAGACATCTCTCTCCATGCAGGTGCTGAACTGATTTGATTAATTAAGGTTTAGTAAATATAAATCAGTTCGTTGCAAGCGCTCTTGCCATGAGAAAGACTGCAATAGCAAGGCTTTCCACACTGAGAATAACATGAAGGTTATTGCCCTGCGTATTTAGTCTACACATTTTCTCAATATGTTTTGCAATGTTTATTGTTGTATGGAAGATATCATAGGCAAATTGGATGCAACTTTATTTTTATTGTGAAAGGGTAATTAGTGGATCAGCAACACCAGAGCAGCTGATTTTCTTGTCCCAAAGGTGTGGGAATCAAAGGTGGCAAAGGGGTAGTGCTCTTCCCTCTCTTCTTTGGGGTCTTGCGTTTTTGATTCCCAGACTCTTTATCACATGTGAGTGGAGTTCATCAAGTCTCTCCCTTGATTCAAGGGTTTTTCTCTGGGTTCTTCAGTCTTCCTCCCACTTCAAAACCTCACAGGCTAAATTCAATCTGTGAGTTAGCAGTACTGATTTTGATCAGCCAAGAGGCCACCCCAGGATAGTGATAACATGCCTCGGTCACGCTTCCAATCCTCTACGTTGGGTGCAAATTGGGTGCAACTTTATTTTTATTGTGAATGGTTAATTAGTGGATTAGCAACACCAGAGCAGCTAATTTTCTTATACCAAAGGTGTGGGAATCAAAGGTGGCAAAGGGGTAGTGCTCTTCAATCTCTTCTCTGGGGTCTCGGGTTTTTGATTCCCAGACTCGGTATCTCATGTGAGTAGAGTTTGTCAAGTCTCTCCCTTGATTCAAGGGTTTTTCTCTGGGTTCTTCAGTCTTCCTCCCACTTCAAAACCTCACAGGCTAAATTCAAATTCAATCTGTGAGATAGCAGAACATGTCCTGATTTTGATCAGCCAAGAGGCCGCCTCAGGATAGTGATAACATGCCTTGGTCACGCTTCCAAACCTCTGTTTTCATTAAGAAATATCAACCCTTTAGTCTGACATCCTTTCGATAATTTGTTGGAAAGAAAATAATCAAAACGATATGGGTTCTTCAGTCCTCCTCCCATTGCAAAACCTCACAGGCTAAATTCAAATTCAATCTGTGAGTTAGCACTACGCGTCCTGATTTCGATCAGCCAAGAGGCCGTCTCAGGATAGTGATAACATGCCTCGGTCACGCTTACAATCCTCTGTTTTCACTTATCAACCCTTTAGTCTGACATCCTTTCGATAATTCGTTGGAAAGAAAATTATCAAAAGGATATGGGTTCTGTAGTCTTCCTCCCATTGCAAAACCTCACAGGCTAAATTCAATCTGTGAGTTAGCAGTAAGTGTTCTGATTTTGATCAGCCAAGAGGCCGCCTCAGGATAGTTATAACATGCCTCGGTCACGCTTACAATCCTCTGTTTTCACTAAGAAACATCAACCCTTTAGTCTGACATCCTTTCGATAATTCGTTAGAAAAAAAATTATCAAAATGATATGAAAACTTCAAACAGGAAGGGAAATTCTACTATGGAGTACAAATATACATAAATATATGATTTGCATCAACCCAGTGCTTCTTTAATGCTATAGAATTAATAGTCTCAAGCACGTCCACAATATGGATATAGGAACCAGGGTTTTCAGAATAAGCTGGAAGCTGATGGTGCTCTGGAGATTGCTTCAAAATTACTTAAAAAACATTCTGAAAGACCTAAAGAACATGCTAAACTCCAATTCGATTTGTGAGTTAACCATGCTATGACTTAGATCAGCCTAGAGGTTCTTTCAGGGTTTGATCTGTGAGTTAGCCATGCTATGATGTAATGGATCAGTCCAAAGGTAGTTTCAGGGTTTGATGTGTGAGTTAGCCATACCATGACTTTGATCAGCTAAGAGGTTGTTTCAGGGTTTGATTATTGATACGTGTGATAAATGTATTAAAAACAACAAAAGAAAACAAAGCCATTTGGTTTTTAATGGAAAACATAAAATTGAAGAAGAAGCTTATATCCATTCAATTGAAGATTTTCTAGAATTATAAAAGTCAAAAAAAAAAAAAACCAAAGCCTTTCAGGTATACATTTAGTGCACAAAAATCAAATGTTTATTCTCTCGCTTTTGCATATGTTGTATATAATCCCTGTGAATTAACCCATACCTTTGTAAAGTGCCTATCAAGCCTGCAGGATTTCTTCCTGATTTCAAATCATCAAATAGAGAATACCTCTTTGAGAATTAGCTCAAAATGCCTGAAACTTTTGGGGGACATAGCACACTATAATCACCAAAAGTTTCAATCATTTTGAGCCAATTCTCACAGCTAGATATTCCCTATTTGATAATTTGTCTTTTTACAAGGATCCTGGGTTGACGTCAGCATTTTGTGATTTCTATATTGAATATCTCGCAACAAAAAGAAGTATCAAAAAGAAAGTAGAAGCCATTCTTATTTATTTAAAAAGGACTTTTAAATAAGGAAGACATCCTGTGCCTTGAAATATAGGCACTTCTAAATTCTCCCTGGTTTCTTAGCACTAGTTGACACTAGAAAGCATGTATATTTTTAAAATCAAAATAACCCACTACAGATGTTGAATGCTTTGCTGAAAGCTTTTTAATACTCCTCAAACAGATCTTTGTTCTTTTAAAAATACTCTTTTATGCTGTTTATATACAGTATTATATAGCTATATTACTGATGACAGTCTAGTTGATTCATTCATTCAAAAGACCTCTGACTCGTTTTCTCAGTGTGTGGGCTGTTTTATCTGATAAATGTGAGAATTCAAACAAACCTGTTCTTTTAAAAAATCCCCTTTTTATGCCTTTTATATACAGTCTCTTGCTTACTTTATGTGGGTTTTTTTATATGTATTGCAAAAAATCTAACGAACCATTCTTCTTAAAAAAAAACATTTTTACTATTTACATAATGCACACATTGTATATAGATCTGTATTATTGATGACAGGACTTCTAGTTAGGGCAGTTCAAAAATCCTCTTATTTTTTGGTTTGAGTTATTGAGGGAACAGACAGAGCAGAAAAACGATAAGGCTGCTACTTTCGCAATTTATTTCTTTAACTCTCATTCATGCTAAAAAACGTTTAGTGTTTCATTCATGTCTCTTGTGCTTTAATTTTTCACGAAAAAGACTGCTTACCTCAAGCAATTCTACTTTGAGGTATATGCAAAAATGTTAGTTTTTGTGCTGATCAAAATATCATCTCTCTCAACGTTCAGGGCGTCATATCTCAAATACGCATCCCTTAAATTTCCCCAAATTTTATTATTTTGTTAATCAGCCCCAAAAGAGCCTGTTTATGAAACATAAAGCTTATAACACATAAACGTCAAAAGTAAAACCCGTATTTCTGCCCTGTTGAGGGAACATTACCTATTGTCTATAATGCTGGTACCATAATTCTCTGCTATATTATTAATATAATTATTATTTTTAGAGTCAAGCCAGGTCATGCATTTCCATCAAGGTTAAAACATTCAGTTTATTATTCAAAGTTTGATTTCCATCTTGCTTTGAAACATACATTTATGAAATGAACATATATTTGGGATCTGATTTAAAGTTTTAGTTTTTCACAGATTATTGCAAAGCTTAAATTATTTATACAGTTGTGGCTACCATTTTATGATAAATTTATTTGGTTACGTTGTTTTGTTCGAAAAATTCTTTCACAAATGAATATTTTGATGTTTAGAGGTAAAGGCCAGTATTAAAGTTTACAACATTCGTTTGATTAATGAAAGCTTCAGAGTGAGATGGATATCAAACTTTGAATAATAAAATGAATCTTTGAACCTCGATAGGAACACATGAGCTGGTTTGACTATAATATTATATGATATTATCAAGACACTAATTCATCCATTGTGTGTTTTTTTTTCCAAAACATTCATATTATTCTCTAGTCACACCCACAGAGCTTGATGATTAATCCTAGACTTCCCTTCCCCCAGGACTGTCAATATAACAAACACCATTAACTTATACCCTTTAGGCAACTGATAAAAAAAGAAATTTAAAATATGATGGCTGATGTTCAGACTGAAGTGTAGAAATAAAGCAATTTGAATAATATATAAAGCAAAATTTAGATAGTCCAGCATATGTACTTGACCAGTCGGCTGATAGAAATAATGGAAAGGTATCCACCAAGCTTTTGGCAATGTTGGCCATCTTCAGGGCTGTAACATGCAACAACTTACAACTGTGCAGAATCTAACTATTTGTACACGAGGTATTAGAGAGTTTTAGATTGACATTTTTTTCTCCCCGCAAACGGCAAACGTGACCATGTTTTCATAGTTTTCCTGTATTTTACTTTTTACCTTTTGCAAACCTTCTCACCAGGCGCAAATATTCTTTTGGTTTTCTACTACTTGGACTTTTTTGCGATTCGTTTTCAGTAATTTAAAATGATTTTTTACTGGTCAACTGACGTTTCACGTTTGCCGTGAACATAAATCTAAAACTCTCTATTGCTGATATTTCTACTGCAGACCTACTAACCATCTACACCTAATAGACTGATGTGAATATAAAAGTTATATGAATCATAATTACATTTATTTACTACTATTATCATTGAAGTGCGACCTGCAAAGTTCGATGTCTAGTTTGCCTGCAACTATATTTTTTATTTTATTTAGCATTTACCTCACATCAAATCATAGTTTAAAAAAATGAAAAATATAAACAAATTACAAGCAGATGAGAGGTAGGGGATACTGTCACAGGTTTCCCCAATTATGACGGTCCCTTAAATAAAATGACATTAAATTATTGAACATTAATTTAATTAAAGGAGAAAATGTTTTTTGCTAATGATGGTCAATCAAAGAACAGAAATTGTAGATAAATTGAATCACCGTAAATAGCTTTGTGAAACTGATGTTTCGGGCGTTAGTCCTTCGTCGGAGTAAGTGGAAAGTAGTGGAAAGTTTTTTTCTTTCCACTAACTCCGACGAAGGACTAATGTCCGAAACATCAGTTTCACAAAGCTCCTACAAATTCCTACTGTTATTCAGAAACACCAATGCAGTCCACGCTAGTACTTTACTAGTTATCACAACTGAAATATTAAATGATAAAAACTATATCTTGAGGGAGATTTAAGACTGAGCAGAGGTTTTGCACCATCACTAGATGGCAGGCATGTTAGATGGCAGGAACAATACAATTGTTTTACATCAGAAAGAATTAAATTCCCTAGAGCACAGGGATTTTTTGTCCTGTTATCTAACCACAGGCAGTCCAAGCTGGATTATGGCGCCGGCATGTGATGGTGCAAAACCTCTATTCAGTCTAAAAGATTTAAATCCTGTAATGCTCTAAAATCTATAGCCATGATAAACCGTCTGCTGTGATTGGTTAATAGACAGTCCTCGACTCAGTCAATGTTTTCCCATTTCAGACCATGTATTATATTCCCAAGAGTATCATTTCTTGGTTTAACAGTTGCACTCGGGTTGCACATGAGAATACCTCACATGAATATGGATACAACTCAAACAAAGAATATTGTTCTCAAGAGAATGACACATGGTCTGAAATGGGAGAAACATTACAGCTGAGCTGGAAGATTTTTTTTACAGTGTACTCAATTTAAGCAAGGCAATCAAATATCAATCCTTAACTTAGATTTTTCTTTCCATACTAGCTTGTAACTCACCACTTGGTATCCAGAATGGACAAATCCCCGATACTCACCTGAGTGCATCCTCGTACTCTTCTTACCTCTACATTGGAAGAGGAAAGCACATGGACATGCAAGCCAAATACTGCAGACTTAACCATCAATTTGCATGGTGTACAAACAAGGGGAACAAGGAAAAGTCATGGTTGATGGTTGATCTTGGTCGAATTACAAACGTGACTTCTATTTCCACCCAAGGATTTGCTGGTGTCAGCGACTATTTTGTTAGTTCATTTAAACTTGCATATAGCATTGATAGAAATTTTTGGAAATTTGTAAGGGAAAATGGAGTGGACAAGGTAATATGAGACTATATAAAAAATCAAATTTCAGAAAACTTCCATATCTACTTTGTAAGTAATATATAGAGTATGAGTGGCCGTGTTGTATCAGATATACAACCACAAGGCGTAGCCGAGTGATTGTATATCTGATACAACACGGACACGAATACTGTATATGACTTATCAAACGTCTAGGTTAGTTCCTTTGTGTTTCACTAAAATTTTCAAAATTAAAGTGAATTTGGCCAAGAAAATCCAACTTGAAGTTTATGCAAATGAACACAGTTTCATATCAGATTTACAACACTCTTCACAGTCGTGATTTCTGATCGTTCACAGTCAAAACGACTCAACCTACCCCTCCCTGGGTCCATCAATGATTTCATTATTTGAATATTGAAATTTAGGCCCCGTCCACACGTATCCAGAAATTTTTGTATCCACAAATTATTTTTTGCAGATACGAAAATGTTTGTGTACACATGCAGCGTATTCGAATTGTTTTCACCATCCACACGTATCCGTTTTCTTAAAATTTCCAGACGCATGTGGACGCAACCCGTATCTGGAAAAAAAATTGCGGATACACAAATTTGCAGATATGTGTGGACTGGGCCTCATTATTCTTTCCAAGAATACGAAGACACAAGATTGGAAATAATAAATGATTCAAGACTCGAATTCTGATTGAATTATACATTATAAGTAACGCCACAATATAATATCTATATCACTACTGCAGCTTGACCTATTTTAAATTTATGGAACTTGCTATAACTAAAATATTTTAATGTTTCATTTATCGAGATTTATTTAATTTAATGCTTTTGTATTTTGTTTGGTATCATTTGTACAGGTATTTAGGGGTAACAAGCATGGTTTGGACATCAAAAACAACAAGTTTAGTCAGATTGAAGCTAGATACATCAAGATCTTTCCTGTCTCCTTTTATATCAGAATATGTCTTAGGATTGAACTCTATGGGTGTGTTCAAGGTAAAATGATACAATACAACCCTGTTCTCTTGTACAGTATAATACAGCCAATCAAAATGCAAGAATAATTATACACAATAATAATTGCTATTCTATGCTTTTTGACATGCACATTTATGCATCCAATTTTTCCCTTTTCTCCCTTCTCTTTATCCCTTTTTTACTTTTTTCCTTCTGTCCAGGGCTTATCAGCCAGTCATCGGAAAATGTACCACCAGAATTGATAATATTAATAATAATAATAATGATGATATCGTCTGTACAATTGTTAAACTTGTATACATCTTTGTATACATCAGTCATGCAGATATTTGCTTAGACTATTCATGCCCGCAATATTCTGTATTCATGTAGCAAAAATGTCTGAAGTTGAAATAAACTAATAATAATAATAATAATAATAATAATAGCATTTATTTAAACTTATCTGGTCAAATCTTTGTCTTGCTAGTCAGACCTGAGTAATATTGAGCCAGAAACGAGATACCGAGCTGAAAATAAGTTGGCCAGTCCTTATGGCCAATAACTGACCAGCTGTTATTGTTAGTAATGCCTACTGTCCTTTCTTATATTCAATGATTCAATCATCCATCCCTCCCTCCATCCCTCCCTCCCTCCCTCTCTCCCTCCCTCCCTCTCTCCCTCCGTCCATCCATCCATTCATCTATCATTCCCTCCGTCCATCCATCCATCCATCCCTCCCTCCCTCTGTCCATCCATCCATCCATCCATCCCTCCCTCCCTCCCTCCATCCATTTATTCATTCATTTGTCCCTCATATTCTATACAAAGTTACATAGCTTAGCTTCATAAGATCCTTTATCTTTTTTGGCTTGAACTTTTTGTTGTTTTTTCTTTCTATTGCAGGATCATCCATCCCTGCCACTGCCACTCCAACCACTCCTCTCATTTCAACTTCAAAAATAACACCTAGTACTTTATCTCCCACATCCACTACCATTACTCAAAAACCCTCTGTAACAACTCCAATAATCACAAAAGCAACAAGCATAAAACCTACAGTAAAAACTTCTGTTAATCTGTTAATAACACCTAGTACTTTATCTCCCACATCCACTACCATTACTCAAAAACCCTCTRTAACAACTCCAATAATCACAAAAGCAACAAGCATAAAACCTACAGTAAAAACTTCTGTTAATCTGTTAATAACACCTAGTACTTTATCTCCCACATCCACTACCATTACTCAAAAACCTTCTGCAATAACAACTCCAATAATCACAAAAGCAACTAGCATAAAACCTGCAGCAAAAACTTCTGTTAATTCAACCAACTCTACAAAATCACCTTCAATAGCAACTTCATTATATACCACAGGAATCCCAAGCAATCAACACTCTACCAGAGTACCATCGTCTCAGTCAGTCTCAGCAACTTCAGCACATCCATCTAAAGGACCCTCAACTGTTGCAATGACAATGATTCAATCATCCAAGGGAGTTCCTACTACCATAGCTACCTTTATAAATGCCTTGCACAAAAAACACTTTAGTGAGGATGAGAAAAAGAAGGACTTCATCATTACTGGATTTAGTATTTTTGGTGGTTTGGTGTTGCTCGTGATTCTACCTATATTAATATTCTGCATCGTTAAAAGAAGGTACAATTTACTTTAAATACTTTTAGATTTTGATTGTCGGAGTTTGAGTCTGTTCTCAGTCTGCTAAATTACTAAATAAACTAGCTATTACATGTTGCAAGTAAAGTGCTGTGATGGAGTAGGCATGAAGTGTTATTTGGGTATTTATGGTTTCTGCATATATTGTTTATCTAATGCCTGTCTCTACAAATTCATTCAACATAACTTATTATTGACTTTAACTTGACAATATAGATATTGTTATAGCGTATCCTTATGTATTTATAGTAGCATGAGTTATATAGCAATATTTATTTTAAGATTCTATTGTTTCAATCAGTGCATAGCTATTAAAACATTGGTAATTCTCATTATTGACAAAGTTGATTTTATTTTTCAATCTTTCCATCGACAGGAAGAGAAGTTTTAATGTGGACTGTCAGTTAGTAGATCTACCAGAATATCCCTATAATATACAGTAAGTACATGCTAGAGTAGATATCAGTGGCAGATCCATGGGTGATTCCATGAAACCCTCTTTCGTTCAGTACAATATAATCAAAATCCCCCACCTTTGTGAAGCCAATCTTTTTCTCCATGCTCAGAGAATGAACCTTTGTGAAGCCAATCTAGGAACCTCATGCTCCTGCCCACCTTTTTAAATTCATTGATCTGCCACTGGATATTATAGAAAAATAACTGTAACACATGGCAGGAGTAGATACAGAGGGTGCCCTGCAGTGCGCCGAGTTAGTCTTAAGCTTTTTTGAAGCGATGCATAATACCTCTAATTTGATTATACATTTCTTCATTTGTGACACCCCCATAACAAAGTCCTGAATCCCCCCCTGCATCATCATAGTGAAAATGTACTCTATGTCTTATTGAAAAGAGTGTTAAGAGACTCTTAGTCACCAAGTTATACTGTATATCATTCTCTTCTTTTGTATTTGGTTTGTTAACTTTTCATGGTGTGATTAATTTCAGGGTGAATTCTAATGAGTCTTTCATTGCACTAGAAAATGACTCAGCTGTGATACAACAAGTATAATCAAATCTAGCTCTCAGGAAACAAAACAAGGTATGACTAGGGGAAACAGCCTGGGATTTCAGTTTATACAAGTAGTCTGTTGGCAGGATTCTTGCTTGGTTTAGGTTACATATAGTATGGACTAGTTGGTATTGTCAATAACATGAGGTTGGCAAGTACACCTGAGCGGTTTTAGGTATGAGTGGTAAATGATAGGTCACATTTATAGCTGTTTAGTGTAGCCATACCATATCTTAGCATAACAGTAACTACAGGGACTCCTGATTGTCTGAATGAATTACTTGTAGACAATAGGAAGCCATTTCAATGCTACACCATGTTATATCGTGTATGTGCTGTAAGTCAGTACAGTATGTTTCCCATTCGTATTTAAACCAGAATGTTAAGCTGACATAGTTGTGGTACATACAACTTTACCCAGGCTATACAGGCTTTGCACCATCACGTGATGGCAGCCATGACAGGAGGCAGGAATAATTGAACTGTGTAATCTGGTTTACATGAAAAAGAATTATGTTTGCCAGGGAAAAACGTTGTGCCTCCTGTCATGGCTGTCATCACAAGATGGTGCAAAGCCTCCATTAAAAAATGTGTTGTTTGAGCAATGTTTCCTAACACACTGTAATTTCAGACCACATTTCATTCCCTTGTTTGAGGTTATATTCACATACATACTCCATGTAAGCATTGCTTCCATTATAGTATGCTATACTATTCAAGGGAGTGAAACTTGGTTTGAATATATTACACAAACAGTTTGCTCCAATAAAAATATTGCCTTAGTCATTAAACTTGGGCATAATATGTGAGGTATATTATCAATAATTATCAATGATTTGATAACTCTTCAAAATCAAAGTGTACTGTTTCAGTGAAAACATGCACTATAATGTGTTAAATAATAAATTAGAATATTTTGGTATTAGGAGCTAAAAGACAGAGGATTTTTGTCTAAAAGCAAATCAATCAACTGATTCAAATCCAAACTATTTCAGTGTAAATATATGCAAAATCATAAGTCTCTCAGAAACTTGTCTTTCAGTGGCTAATAAACCTTACCCGAATTCACTTGAATGATTACAAAATAATGGTTTTAAGTCGAGGTTGGACTTGATGAATAAGAGAATCGAGTTCAGTCTCCACTTCAAACCATTGTTCCGTGGTCATTCAAGGAAATTCAGGAAGGTCTATTACATTTTTTTTCACATTAAATGAATGCTATGTACAGCATTTCAGTGTAAATAGGTACATAGTTTAAAACTTTCCAAGCACTAGTTAATAATTGTTGATAATTATTTTTTTCTAAATCTCCTAAACAACACTATGTACAGTATTTCAGTGTAGATATGTACATAGAATAAGAATAATAACTATATTTAATAATAATACAATAGCTTTATATTTTTTGTACTATGTACACGATTTCAGAGTAGATACGTGCATAGTTTGCGATTAAGTACTACAAATCTGCTCGTTATCCGGATTATTATTAAGCAAAAATCCAATCATTGATTTAAAAATTATATTACACCGTTGTGACACAATAATTGTATACTGTTATACAGTGTTCCAGTGCAAACATGTATTTCATATAACTATATTTATGAATGTTCTATAGAAAATGTACAGTATTTCAGTGAAAATATGCACACTTAAATCTATGTACTGTCTTGGGGTGAACATGTAATTTTATAAGCAAAGATTTTGAGCCAATATGTTGCCTTTGACTGTAAAAACTGTTGTAACACACAGCTGTTTTAATGTTAACATATGATTATACATTGTCTCAGCATAGAGAGAAAGTAGGTAGACTAGGAGCATAAGTACAGTGTTTCTTCCATTAATATTTTGTTGAAAGAATATTTTTCTTCTTTTTATTATTTTTATATGCTGTTCCAGAGTGAACATATATGATAGGAAAATATTTATTAATCTATAGGTTAATTTTCTAATTCAGAGCTTATGATAATCTCATAGTAATATTAATGAAATTTCTGGAATATGTACAGTATTTCAGTGAAAATATGTACATAGAGGTAATGATTTTATATACTGTTCCAGTGAGAACATATATTTATTTCTTAAACTTTATTTATATTTTTTAATACAACAGTATGGAACTAGAAATGCCTTTATTTGATAATACAGTGTAATGACAGTAGTTTATTGTTATAAATCTTTATCAAATTTGCTCGAGTGACTGTGATAAATACAGCTCGAAACTTCATGAATAATTAATGAGCATTTAGACCTATCGGGTCCTTCAAATTCATCACGTGCATGGATCTTTATACCTGATAATAGCTCAACATGGATATCTTTATATAAGGATTTCCAAATTATTTATGATTTTTTGAACTGTCTTTCAATAAATTCGCAGATCGTGTTTAATATCAGGTCTAAAAACCCTCAGCTACACCTTGTGGTTTTAAACCTGATATAACACTCCTGCTTATTTATCAAACTATACTAAATAGATAACTACATCATGTCCATGTACTTCAACTCAAAACCAATATTATTGTTGTGGTCACTTAAGTGAATTCAACTAAGGTCTATACATTGAATCAAAATAAGGAGAAAATTCGAATATCTATTCTGAACTGACTATCCTCTCAATGTGTGAAAATAAGTGTTTCCACATGAACGCAAGGCCAGTCAAATGTTTTCCCTATATTTTGGTTTGGTGTATAATTTTGACTTTTGCAACTCTTGATTCTCTGTGGAGATTTGAGACCAAAGCAATGGAGTAGGAAGAGGGGGAGGGGGGGGATTGTTCGATGCTTACTTGCTCCGGGGGCTGTTGAAGGCTTTATTGCTCCTGGGGATATCAGAGGCTTTTTTGCACCAGTCCTCAAACAGTTAGACAGTGCCATAAGGTCTTGGGTTATCATGTGAAACAAGGCAAATGATCACAACGCCAGAGCAAGAAAGCCATCCGAACAATGGTATAGGGACACCCTACCTTTGGTTTGGGAGGTCCAGTAAGCTATTTTCAAATCCTAGGCTTGCTATACCAAGGTTTACAAGTTAAAACGATTTGGATATTTTCTATATATCCACTGTGTCTGTCTGTCACAGTGTTCCAGTGAGAGCATGTGCCGGTCATTGTTCTCTTTACATAGTTAATAGATAATGTTATCAAAATTAATTTTCTATATTATATTTTTTGTTTAATATCTGGTACGATATTCCAGTGCGAATATGTGCAGGTCAGTTGCTGGCTATGATAAATTTGTCGTAGAAGTTGGGTACCCTTTGTGCAGACATTAAGCCTTTTCCTTCCCTCCCTTGAAAGAAAATCGACAAAAGTTCCACTAGCTGTTTAACCATTTTTTTTCCTGCAAGGGAGGGGTAGGTAAGCAATGGCTGAACACAAGATTAATTTAAGTTGTAATGTGAAAATAGACCTTTCCAGAATTCTCTTGAGTGGCCGCAAAACAATGCTGGCATATCGAGGTTGGACTTCTCGTTTTGTTGATACATTAAAGGTATTTTATGAAGTCCAATCTCAACTTGCAGCAATTATTTTGTCGTCACTCAAGCCATTTTAGAAATCTTGATTGTTAGTCAGACATTTTTATTTTAAACTTGTTCAGGTTATAACCAGACATGTTTTGAATTGCCCCACCTCATAGTCAGTGTATAATTTTTTTTAAATAAACCAATGGGTTTAATATAAAAAATGTCTTACTAACATTCAAGTCTATCAGTTTCTTTTCGTTACACCGTCCTTTTGAATTCTCGAAAGGTCTATCTTCATAATTTGTTACATAATTTTTCAATATATGTTGGGCTACCTGTGGTATAATTCGTCTGGCGTAGTATTCGAGTGGGGATATATGCTGGTAATAGTTCTCGTTGACAGACTTTGATGACTTGTCGAAGTTAAGGTAAAATAAATCATATATTACCAAATTCAATAAATTTAACATTGAAATACTGCATTCTTATATGTTCTCTGCAGCAACATGAATGCAACTCCTGCCGCTTTCTAACAACAGACCAAATCCACTGCTTTCCTATTCCATTTCAGCCCACGTCATTCCCTAGATTATCATTTCTTTGTTTAACGGTTGCGCATGAGAAGAATCTTATTCTCAAGAGAATGGCATGATCTGAAATGGGAAATTTTTTGACTGAAACGCCATAAAGAAGTGCTTGCACAGACACGCATCTCGATATACTTTTATTTTGAGTAACGTCCACTTTGAAAGGCGCATCTGAAAAGTCCCGTTTACACTAGCGAGTTTTGCGGCGATTTTTGCTGCGATTTTTTCGGCGATTCTGTCCATGATAAATAATGGTAAAGAATTTACTTGTAAAGTTTTTTCAGGACACCAAGGTTTTCCTAGACGATTGCCTCTTGAAGGATGAGACAAAAGATTTTATATTTCCGAAAATTGCCACAAAAATCGCCAGTGTAAACGGGGCTAAAGAGTGAAAACTGTATGCGCATAAATGTGTTTTTCACGCAATGTTTATCTGCTACAGCGACACCTGCAGCGTTCTTGCTTCCCACTCATCTGCACAACTTGAAAACATTGCTACAAACAGCTGAAACGGGGATGTTTTTATCATGGCCAAACATGGCGAAATACATGGGGCTTTATTATTGTTCTTTGTTCAATGATAGAAACAGGATAAATGACTTTTTCGTTTCATGCGCGTTAAAAAAAGCAGCGACTGGTAGCCCCCAATATTCATAGGATAGAAGGATAATAATCATTTATCTAAAAGAGAATATTAAAATTACTAAAACCGAGAAGTTTGAAGGAACTAAGTTCAAAACTCGAGAAGATATGAATTTGCAATAATCGAAATTTTATATGGAAATATTCATAGGTAGGTAAAAGGTTTTCTCACAACATTTTGGACCTATTTCCTTCAAACTTAACCAACTTGGTTTTATTTAGGCTGCGTTCTACCCAACGCAACTGTTAAGTCATACGAGAGAAAAGTCTGGCTGCACGCAGGCTAGTTTTTCCAAGCTATGACAATATGTTTTACTTAAAAATTCGTAAAGAATTCTACTCCAACCTAAAAAAAAGTTTCTTAAATTAGTGAATAAATTAAACCAGAAGACGATTTGGTTCGGAAAATTCGAGGTTGATTAGATTGGACTTCTTGGTGTGTCAAATAATAGCAACACTCTTGTTTTGTCGAGCTTATTATCAAGAACTCGCTTCAAGGGGTAGGAAACCTTAAAAGGGTTGTTTTGAAAAGGGTTTCATAAACAAAAACAGCTGTAAAGTATTTGTGTGCTTGTGGTATGGGAGAGTATGGCGTTCCAATCCCGCCAAAATTCAATGTTGACATGAAACATTCAACTTCATGCATCAACATTCAAGTATATATAATACAACTTCGAAGTTCAGTTTTCAACCTTAAAAAACTTGGGATTGAATATTTAATGCCATACCTCAACATTGGAGTTTACATGCTCCAACATCGAACTTCACAAACAGGAACTTTCAACTTCATTAAACTTGAGATCGAACAGGCTCGAACATCCAACTTCATTTAACAACTTGGAATTTGTAAACTCTAACTAACAACTTTCAGGCTCAAACGTTTGAACCCAAATTTTTGAATTCATTTAATTCGATAGCGTAGATTGTACGTTTTGGATGGACGTTATATATTGCATGTTGCAATCGGATCAGTTGGAAGTTGAGTACTCAAACACGTACCAACTCTGCCAAAAAGTATCATATGTCAATGTGACGTCATTGACGAAGGCTTGTGGGAACATCGTAATACGAGCGCACACTTCACTGAGAATTGAAACTATGGCTTACCGTCAAAGTATTACTCCCAAAGACTCCGAGTTCGTAAAGATTTGAAGCGAAGAGTAGCAACACAGCAATCACTTGTGCGACCAAAAGTGAACCGGCTTTGATAGCGATTTTGGAATAATGACGCGGTATCCTCTGCAGTGTAACTAGTACATCAAGTGAGACTACCATTCTATTTACATTAAAATGTAGTCGACCACAGGCAGCCCAAACAAGGTTCCTGTGTATGGTTTATAAGGGAATGTATGGGAGTTATGATAAAGTTACGAAAATAAAATGTTTCACTCAACGATTTGCTTCAAAACATGTTRCAGTCGTTGCTTTTACTTTGTTCAGTCTTCTGGCAACGTTTCAGCGCGATTTGAGGCCGTTTAGTGGGTTTTTTCAAAATCCGCTCTTCTTTACCTAAATAATGGGAAGGCTGGAGACTTAGCACCCAATATCGACTACATCACGCTAGAAAATCCAAAAAAAATCTCTCTCTCTTTCCTTGAACTGCAACAAAAATCCAACATGTCAAAGGAACGATAATTTCTCTATCATAACATGTATTCTGAATGCCACCACGCCAAATATTTCCAGAAAAATCCTGGCTTAAAGTGGAATATTTGATTTCTTCTACAGCGTGTGATCGATGGTGTTCAAACGGCCGTTGTAAAGCGTGAGCGGGTCACGTTACATACTGCATTCTGATTGGCAACAAACCAAAGTCTGTCGGGGAAGGGGAATTTGTTTCGAGCTTTTTTTGGATTTTCTAGCGTGATGTAGTCGATATCAGGTGCTAAGTCTCTAGCCTTCCCATTATTTAGGTAGAGAAGAGCGGATTTTGAAAAAAACCATTAAACGGCCTCAAATCGCGCTGAAACGTCGCCAGGAGGCTGAACAAAGTAAAAGCAACAACTGCAGCAAGTTTTGAGGCACATTGTTGAGTGAAACATTTTATTTTCATGACCTTAATCATAACTCCCATACATTCTCTTATAAACCATGCACAGGAACCTTATTTGGGCTGCCCGTGAGTCGACTCTTAATCTCAATAAATCAATATCCACTATATCTTGGAGCTCATTGATAGCATCAATTACACTTCGCAGCGAAAGCTGCGCCATATTGAATTACAAATTCGAATAAAATTTACACAACTACTACCCCCATGGAATAATTTTAGCTGTACAGCCGGGTTACCTGTGGATTGTTACATCATACTGACACTTGACACTTTTTGGCGGTCGTGGTACGCACAATGATACTCAACTTTCAAGATGACTGAATTTGATTTGAAACAGTGATGTTGAAGGACGAGGCTTTGAAAGTTGTTTGGAAAACTTGAATGTTGATGCATGAAGTTGAGTATTGGAGGACGAAGTTTTAAAAGTTACAGGCAAAACTTGAATGTTGATGCATGAAGTTGAATGTTTCATGTCAACATTGAATTTTGGCGGGATTGGAACGCCATAGGAGAGGGGTGTTGGGGAGGGAACATACTTAAAAGTATTTGTGTGGGTGTGTGTTGGGGGGAGGGGTGTCGAGGAGGTGTTGGGGGAGGGAACATACTTTAAAGTATTTGTGTGGGTGTGTGTTGGGGGGAGAGGTATTGGGAGAAGGATTATGCTAAGGCTGTTTTTCAAAACTGTTTAAAGATCGTGGAGGTTTGCGCACAATTTTGAGTGCTATATGAATATTCAGAATATTCGTAGTTTGATCTGTGGGTTAATTTCATTAGCGTTACCATGGTCGTCATCATCACTATTATTGCCATGATCAACATGACCACCAAAAATCTTTGATTCTGATTGGTTCGCTACTCGGTGATTTTTCCCAAATCACACTGCAAAAACGTGAAATTACAATGCAAAAAGTTGAAATCACAGTGGGNCACCCCCACCCCCCTACCACTTGAAATCCTAGATCCCTCGTTTACCAGTCATTAAAACAATATTGCATATTTTTTGAATAGCGGTCTCAGGTGTAGTGTAGCGTTAGCTCACTCGCCTCTCACCACTGGAGTCTCGGGTTTGATTCCTGGATTTGGCATCACATGTGAGTAGAATTTGTTGTTGCGTCTCTCTATTTATTCGAGGGATTTTCCCTGGGTTCTTCGGTTTTGACCCACTGGATTCAAATTCGATCTGTGAATTAGCTGGGCCCCGACTTTGATCAGCCCAGAGGTTGTTTCAGGGTATCGATAAAAGTTGAAGTATTTTAAAGAAATGAACTGCTTACCCTAAGTGAAGTACTTCAAGGTGCACAAGTACAGGGGTGTAGTTCTCAGGGTTGGTGATATCTGCAGTTGAATCACTTGGTCTTTTAGTTACAGTGGCAGGTGATAGTGCCTTAGACTTTGGGGTAACACTTTCAATATGATTGTGATTTAGACAGAGAACCTGTTAAATTTAATTTCGGTCAAAAAAGGGAAAAAAAAAAAAAAAAAAAAAAAACGAAATCAAAGCTATTTACATTTAAAATCAATGTCTTTTATTATCATTATTATTAGTAGTATTTTTAACAACAAAAGAGCGAAGCAAATTTCGCTTCATCATACGAACGCACGCCATGAAATGAGAATTTGTATTTGATCTAAAAAAATTTTATGGTCACATTATTAAAAGAAAATCAAATGGTTTCTCGTGCAATTTGAAAAATCAGCACTCGTGAAGCTTAAAAATTAAGAAAAATTGCACTCGCCTCTTCTGGTTGAGTGCTAGCAACTATTAGTCACTATTAAGTCTCATAGCAGTGATTTGAAAGTACGTGCAATGTTCAGTGTACATGAAATGACAGCTTTCTGCATCTTTATAAGTGTGTCACTTCTTCTTCTTCCCAAGAGCTTGCTCATGCACTCTTCCAAGTCGGTTGAATATCCTCCTTAAACGTCTATTATGATGTTGTACTGTTCAATCTTGTATCCTTTAAACTGTTGCTTCAATTCCCACCTATAAGTGCTGTGTTCTTGCGCGTCTTCTCGTCGTCTTTCTTGGTGCGGTTATCTATCCACGGAAAGCTCATTTCCAGAGTCTTTGTGACTGATGATGCGTACGTCTATTCTGTAAGCTCTTACTTCTGTGTTCTCTGCGTAGACAGGAACATCCCAAAAAGCCTGGCAATCCTCCTTTTCGTACTGAGACTTGGGGACTACGGGCGAATACCAAGGTGGTACACTATCAACTAAGCCATACTCGAAAAAGAGTATTGCCTCCATACTACTTAGCTTGCACCAAGGTGGAACATCCCGCTATAATGTGCGGAACACTTTCTAGGTCAGTTCTGCACAGTCTACACTTCAGGTCGTTTTCAGGTACTGAGCCAATCTTCTTGGTATTATACAACTTAGTAGAAGTTGTTCATAAAGTTCATCAATACCTACTATGACATGCGAGGGGCATGAGTTCCACTTCTACAGCCAACCAAATCACTTCTCGTTGATATTGTCATCATTCCATCTTTCGCTATCATCATCATCATCATCATCATTATTATTATTAGCCATTTCGAGGCTGAGGGGGAAAACTGGGTTGAGTTGGCATCGCAGTAGATTGTGGGTCTCTTGGTGGAAAAAATAGTCTTCGCATCTTGAAATCGCTCCTCATTTTTTTTATCTATCGGTCTATAGCTAGTTGTTTTGCATTCCCGCTGAAGATATACACTTATTCTTATTCCTTGAGGCAATAATTTAGCCGAAACTCATTTGGATAAATATATATCAATTTCTCAGAGGTTGAAATCATGCCAGCTGACGTCCGATGGGGCTGGAAAAATCTCATAACGATTTGCGAAGTTTCTAGAAGATGAAGCTCGCTTATTGTAATGTTTAGATCTATAAATGCATTAAGCTTAATTCTTGATACCTGGTACCTAAAATTATTTTAAATAATATCAATGACGGTATCTTATTAATCTCGCTTTCCGTTGAACACTAAGAAATTTTTACTAGGTTCGATTTCCTTGAGATTTTCCAAATTTCAAGAAAGCAAACTCGAAGCAGAACCAATATGCCATAAAATGCGAATAACTACATTTCGTTGAATATCGTATGAAACTGAATGAACCATTGTTTCGTAAACTGCAGGTTTTAAGGGTATTTTATTAAAAAATTTCAATGGTGGGTAAATTTTGAAACAACGTTTCACAGCTAATTTATTCAACATGTAGTGACAGGTGATAAAAATGGAAAAAACTTTCAAAAATGTCATCAAGTCTCAAAACTTCTGATATCAATTGCAATCAATTGATATTGTGCAAAGTCATAGAAAAATGACTTGACTAGCTAAGAACTTTAGATTCAAAATTGTTCCTTCTATCTTGGACTTAGAATTATGCCCCATAGCAACTTAATGCGGTTTACAATTTTGCGTAGTTTCATTGCCATGGTGACCATAATCGGATGACTTCAAAAATTTGCACCAACATTTCCATTGCCATTTCGTTCGAAGACTTGAACTCGAAAACAACTTGATAAAAAGAAGTTTTGCATTCGTTAAAAAAAGGTAAGACTTATAATATAGAAGAATTCCCCCCACTGGCTTTAAATCAGCATTTGAACAACTGGGATTTTTATTTTTTCTAGTGAAACTCTCTGAGATAAAGTTTCGTGGTTTTCTATTAATTGAAGGGCACTTATTTTGCAAAAACTAGTCATTTTATAATAACGAGTTATAAAGGAACTATTTCGTTCGAGAATTCGGTTAAAATTTCAATAAAAGCTTTGGTTAAGATTTTCGACTGTCATGAAGCCAGATAGTCGAAAAGATATCAGCAAGATCGATTGATTTAGTATAGTTTGTACCTGTCATTGACTCACATTAAAACAAAATTAAAAACAGGAAAAAATTTATCAAGTCAATTTATTTTAGCTATTTTAAAATATTTGTGCTTAAATGTCACCATTTGTGTTAAAATATCACCAGTTTTATCAAATTTCTTGTTTTCAGTGTCTATTCCAAAAAATTTAGCAGTATAAAGTAGCCAATCAAAAGTAATGCGTAAATCTTTAAAAACATTAATGTTCGCTGCATTTGCAGATATGTCCCAACTTTGACAACATTTTTAGATTTAGATATTCATAATGTCGGACTAAATGCTGAGCGTTGACGAAATTTTAAGAATCTATCCAAGCTCCACTTTCGTACGCAGTTAGGCGGAATTTAGAGAAGTCAAAAAGTCGATAAGCGGATGATCTATAGCCTGCTTTAAGTTTCATCTTCCAGAGACAAAGACTGAGCTATATTTTTCTGTCCACACATAATCATTCTTTTGTAAAAATGAATGCCCTTTTGGGAGCGATTTGAACAATTTGCGCTTGTGCTTATCTTAGCATGGCAAGCGGGGAACTTCGAGTATTCTTATTGAATCATATAACGTTTAAAAAGGTAGAAAGAAGGTGACGAGGCGACAGGAAAGTGACGAAAATTGGGTAGAGGTAAAAATGTATTGGAAAAATTCGAAAAATCGAGAAAGACTTTGAGTAAAAATAGAGAAGTCAACAACTTAATAATTCAATTGATGCTTAGAATTCCTCATCAACTTTCTTTCAGTGTGAGTCAAACTTCGCTTTGTCAGCTATTTCTGCGGGCCGACAAAGTGAAGAAAGTTGCTAGACTGACAAATGTAGGATTTTATGCTAGTTATAGGCATACCAACACTGCTCCCACCTAAAGCAAACTCTTTTAAAGGAATGCATTTCTGAAAGAATAAAAAGAGAAGAAAAGTTCATTGCTTATGCAAAACATATTGTTTGGACTGATTATTGTTTGGCAATTCTGTAGCTTAGCAACTTCGCATCTGCCCTTTCTTGGAGTTTTCAGACCGTAAACACTGAGTGCTAAGTTTGTCGAAATCTATCCTGT